GCGGGGGCGGGGCGGAAGGGGCGCGACGGGCGAAAGAAAGCCGCAAGCGATGTGACCGCACTGGCAACGCAGTTGCCTTCGATCCACGCTCGGTCACCGAAGCTCTTTGCTGCACGCCACGAGTTGCTGCGCCCGCTGCCTCTCGTTCCCACAGGTAGGCGCCGCTCATAATGCGAGGGAACTGAGTATGACAAATAGATAAGCTCTTTGGTCATTAAATTGCGCTCCTAAAACAATATTTACCTTGCTGGAAAAGAATACACTGAGGGAGTATTTAGGGTTTCCGAGCACGTCAACTATAGTTGTATAAATGTAGTACATATTACATTTCGGGAGGTGTCAGTGATGCTCCGTCGAAAGTGAGATCTGACGCCGGACTACAAGTGGGGGATGTTACGCCTCCATGCGTGACTGCCAGCGGAGCATCGCCCAGCCAGGACAACCTCTGGACTCTCGACCATAGTAGTGTTGTGCAGGTACATGAAAGTGTCTGTACGAGAGGGAAGCAAGAATGAGGGAGTTCCTTGGTCACTTTGTTAAGTTATCGCTCCGCATTCACCTGGTGCAATTCACTGGAGAAACCACAGGCAGATCGATCAGAATAGCCGCTGGCTAGAATTTTTATCCAGATAGTGCAGCTATTGAATTCGTTCCAGCGACGTAACTAGTGACAAAAAGTCCGCCAAGGTTGGAGTTCGAATTTCAGGACTTCCATTCCATAGAGATCCGCGTTTCCTTTCGTATAATAACGCCTTTTCGAATAGGAACAAGTGCAATATAATGTAACGCGAGAGTGAGGAGTGCCGCCCGTGTGTCGCAGGTGCCGTGAAGAGGGCGGGCCGCCATGAGCGGGCTGGCGGGCGCACTGCCCGGGGCGCTGGCGGGCGCGGCGGGCGCCGTGGCCAGCACGGCGTCCAGCGTCGCCTGGTTTCTGCCCATGCTGGTGGCCGCCATCGCCTACTTCCACTACGAGCTGCTCGACCCCGAGTCGCGGCCCATCGACATCGACACGGAGCTGCTGCGGCCGCAGTATGACTTTGTGGTGGTAGGCGCAGGATCCGCAGGTACACGGACAATTCAGTAAAATATCGGTCACAGTAACTTTTGTGTCTCTTCTCAAGTCGCGGAAGTATTCATGGAAATCACTCATTATAGTTCCCAGTCATTAGAGAGTAAAATATAAAATACGCCGTTGACGATTCATTTTGTATTATGTAAATTCCGTGTGTATTTACACGAAAGTAAGATGCTTAATGTTAATCACCTTTGCTTATAAATAATGGATAAAGGCTTATTTAAACGTAAATAATTCATTCTCAGTGATACAACGTGCTACCGATGAAGGTCAATAACAGTCTTGATTAGAATATTTAGAAATGCGGTAATTGAGAAAATACTCTAGATCGAAAGTCCGAAAACAGCTCGTCTGAAGCACAGGGCTGTCTGCTCTTCCGTGCTAAGCAGTGAACCTGAGGCGTTCTGCGCAGGCGCGGTGGTGGCGAACCGGCTGTCGGAGGTGGAGGGGTGGTCGGTGCTGCTGCTGGAGGCCGGCGGCGACGAGACGGAGATCTCCGACGTGCCGCTGCTCGCTGCCTACCTGCAGCTGTCGCAGCTCGACTGGAAGTACAAGACGGAGCCGCAGGGCACCGCCTGTCTTGGTGAGAAATCGGACATACGCTAGATGAATCGACACGAGACGCGCGGAGCAATGATCGGCACTGCCGCACGCGATATAGGTCAGCTCAAAAGTGGACAAAAAACGATTGGATATCATGTAAATACAGTAAATCACATTTGTTCTAAACAAATTCCAGCATTTAAATAAGAATTCTCATTTCCATTTTTTAATGGAGAGTGCTCATTAACAAAGGTTCCTCTCTGCTAATTTTTTAAAAAAATATTAATATATAGTTTTCTATTTCATATAAGGATGCTGCGACTATGATAAATGTACGATACCTCACACCAGTAGAATACGTCTTTCTTTGAATATTTTTATTCAAGCACAGAGCAACTGTAAGCATTGAGTTATTTCACTCTCTTTGCCTTCTCACAGCCATCAATCATGTCAATAAAAGAGGTTACCCAATATACGTAACGTACCCCATGCCTTAGCAAAATTCTACAACACAAATTTTCTCACCACATATTTCTTTCGCGACATGTCTCGCATGAAGACCGTAATAAAAGAGGAAAATGGAAGCACGTTCGCAAATTGACACAATTATCCACACTCCCGAGGTGATGTAGAAGCAAAGAATTAACTTTTTGCCGCTAGAAATGTACTGAAAGTCGTTAATTTCAATCTGCATCATGCACGTAAGTGAACAGTGATATAAGAGCTCATCCTCCACAAGGAAAACCGAAAGCAAGTTTACCTGTTTCCAGATTGCAATGATTTACTATGAGAAAGCGCACACAAGAAAACAATTAGTCTTGCTCATTTTTCCTGAAATACGGATCAGATAGCGGGGCGACTAACGTGACTAACGTGACTTCACATTTACATTACTATTTATCTCCAATCACGTTCAATTTCCAAGAAATCCTTTTTTCATTGTCCATTTATAGATTTTTCTACATAATTACTACGAGGGGAACAAGTCATGGCAACACATTTCACTCGTCACACTCTTGAATATTTTAATTATGAAAATGTATTGATATATTTTGATGCGGGAATCAGTGTGATGAACTTAATTGATTTAAAAAATAATGGCGTACGGAAATAGCGTACAGGAAAAGTATCATTGTTAAATCAGAGTAATCGACCTAAAAAAAATTGAACATTTTAATTTGTGTGTATCCGTGAAACAGAAGAATAGCAGTGAGACTACATACAAATTTCGTAACAAATTGCTAATTTTGTTGAGCTTCCATAGTTAAGTATATAATGATGGAAGTAATACAGAATGTTTCAGAATAAATGTTGCAAAGGCGGGTAACGAGTCGAATATGACTACTTTCTGCCAATGACTATCTCTTAGAAGTTACACTGCTTGATAGAAAACTTATTTTGCACTTGTGCTTGGTAAGTTCACGGAATCTACTTTCGTGCCCATGTGTAGAACGACGTGCCAGTCAATAAGAGGCATGGTGTTTAACATTGGCTTACGTGAAACTACTACACACGAGATATCCCTTCCCAAATACAAAGACAGAAAGTGATATTTTCCTAGAAGGCCTAAAAAATGGGCCAACCTTATTCTGAGACATTGGATATAATATCAGATACCGATGATACCAAACTTGAGAGCTCGCTTCTGTTGCCAGGCATGCAGGGCGGCCGCTGCAACTGGCCGCGAGGCAAGGTGATCGGCGGGTCGTCGGTGCTCAACTACATGCTGTACGTGCGCGGCAACAGGCGCGACTACGACGCGTGGGAGGCGCAGGGCAACCCGGGCTGGGGCGCCAAGCACGCCCTCTACTACTTCAAGAAGTCGGAGGACAACCGCAACCCGTACCTGGCGCGCTCGCCGCTGCACGGCACGGGCGGCTACCTCACGGTGCAGGAGGCGCCGTGGCACACGCCGCTGGCCGCCGCCTTCGTGCAGGCCGGCCAGGAGATGGGTTACGACGTGCGCGACATCAACGGCGAGCGACAGACGGGCTTCATGATCGCGCAGGGTGAGAAGGCGCGAAGGCCACTCCGAGCCCAGCCGACAGTCGGGAACAAGGCTGTTCTAAGTCCATTTTACTATTTTTTTTTAGGACAGCCGTTTGAAGTTTTTGAATGTAGTGGGTATGCGTGGAGTGAGTTAGTACGTAGAGTGGACTTGGAATAATCTGGTTCTCAGCCATCGGTAGCTGCAATGACCGCTCACAGATGTCGATCCCATGATTGAAAGTAGTACACACACGTGGCCATAAACAGCATTATTTAACGAACACATTTCAGAAAACGTGCAACGCGCCTGAGAAAAAACGGCGTGTGAAGAGAAGGTCATTTTACACGAGACTCCCAAAACACCCAAAAAATATTTTTTCCTTGTATCGCGTGAGTTAATACGTCATTATATTTCTTAAAATTAAGATATGATTAAGGTACAATTAGGGCGTCAATTCTTAACTTCACCCCGAAAAACTTTCTTGCTGCCTGAAATGTATATAATTCATTTTCGTAAAAAGTCCCCACAGTCCGTTTCGCAAGCGCAATGACGATGTAATCTAGTCAGCTTGAATATACACGTTGCATTTCTGTGGTTTAAGTACAAGTTCACCTACTTTTGACGTTCTAACAATCAAGCAGCCCTGAGACATCTCCGAATGCCCTACACAAAATCGAGCAGAACACCTGTGTTACTGCTTACTAAGAGTAACGAAAAAGCACACACTAAAAAAGTAGGTTTAATAACAGGGAATTTTTAATGTATACATGTTGATAAGTACCATTTTGCAACTATTCAATCTTTAAAAAAAGTAATGACTAAAAAAATGCAACAATGGCTTCTCAATTTAAAAGATTCCCGTTAGTGAAACCGTCCTCTTTACAGACATTCATTAAAACTATCATTAGTATTGATTGCGGTATAAAATCATATTCACAAGTTAAGCATTCAAAATGCAATCACAATTTTCCTAACAATTCCGCCTTCTTAAGAGCACAACATTAACTACAATTCAACAAAAATTCACACGGTTTTTCAAGGGACAAATTGCATTTTAACAGTTTTCAGTAAAAAAGTTAAAGGAAGGAATATTATTTTCGACTGTTTCCTCATTTAGAAGAAATGAAGCACGCAATGCGGTTTCCTCTTCATGAACAAACTAAACAACTGTGTTAATTGAATGAGTCTTTTGCATGTTTAGAAATCATTACTCGTCAGCCTCAGCGTTAATATTCGACCACTTATTACCACTGGGACCAAACACACAGAATGCATAACACTTCTGATGGTTAATCTACATCATATCACTATGTCATTTTTTATATTTGTTATACTAGATCATTAGGAATTTCTAGTAGAAAATTATTTGTTTAAATATTGTAAATAACACAATTCATAGAATTTCACAATATTAAGGACAATTACTGATCCACTAACATCGTCATAATCACTATGTAAAGATAATTACAGTAATCAGAATTAGTTTTAAAATTATCTCTTCTAACTAAAATATTCTGACAACAGCGTATAACACTATTGTGGACCCTCAATTTTCGAGATATGTTTTCTATTTCTATCATTGATTTCATACTATAATATATAACTTGAATTCTAATTACATTTTTTTAGTAATAAAACAAAAAATCCAATAGGTATTATGTTCTATTGTTAATGCAAGTTGCAGAAGGGCACTGTCAATCGAGTGTAAATTAAAACAAGATTTTGCTGTAGATGGCTGTAATTTCCGTACGATTTAACCATTCAGAGGACATACATATCCTAAGGACGAATTGAGCAAACGTGTACAGCTGCAATGTTCGAAAGACGTCCCCGCCTCTTTCGACGGATCCACATGTCCCCACCTCCGCGACTTGCCCTGGGCCACGTGTGCTGACGCGCGCCGTGTGTATGTGCGCAGGGACGACGCGGCGTGGCTCGCGCTGCTCCACGGGAAAGGCTTTCCTGCGGCCCGCGCGCCTGCGCAAGAACCTGCACGTGGCCATGCACGCGCACGTGACGCGCGTGCTCATCGACCCGCGCACCAAGACGGCCGTCGGCGTCGAGTTCGCCCGCGACGGAAAGGTATGGTTCCCCCTCCCCAGTCTGCCTGCTCCCACCAGCACATCCGGGCACGGTGGGTTCTTGCCGAAACAAACCAAGCACGAGTTTACAGCTGCCATTATGAAGGGGCCCCCATTAACCTTTACATATTACTTGTTAATTCATAATTCATTAATTCCATTTGTATTTCTAAAATATTTTAATGTTAAGTTTTGAAATGCGACACTTTCAGTTTGTTTTATATTTATTTTACATTATTACATTGCATTATTACTCATGTGGACTTGCTTACGGTAACTTACAATATTAATCCGGGCTTGATTCGGGAAACAACGGGAATCGCTGAGCTTTCCGGTGGATTGTCATCATCAAGACCTTCATTAGTAAGTCCTGAGATGTCCACTGGGAAGCTCGTAAAACAGACCCAGCTATACATGCTTGAGATTACAGCTGGGCAGGCAAGAGTTATGAGAAATAGGGTAATCAGCGAGAACTGAGGGTTGCATAGAGGCAATGTCCCCTTCTGTGATGGCTGAGGATGGCCGCCAGTAGTGATGAGATCATATGGATGTACCAAATTCTCAACCTCCCAATTATCTTAACAAAACAAGGGTAAGAAAGGGGTGCACGTGCGCACGTGTTCCATTCGTACTAAGCCCTCATGGGTAATTGCATATTGCCCATTCGTAATATGCAATTACAAATTCCTGGGGGCACATATTACGTGAACATGGGAAACATTTTTCTGCCATAATGACACGCTGAAATTATTTCACTTTATCAAGATAAATGCTAGAAAAAACAAGTAATTACTTACTATAATCTTTCGCAAATAGTTACAATTTTTAGTAAAAACTTTGCATTGTTTGAATGACTAGTAAAATTACATATTTTCAAACCGCTTACAAAAGTGGATACTCGAAAGAGTGGATTCTTGGCTCTCCAGGAGACGGCACGTCGTATACATACTATGAGTATCTAACGTTCCCTCGAATGCCACCTTCCTCAGGGCGAAATGCCTGCCAACTGTTCCTCGTGGCGCCTACCTGTCAGCCACGAGACTCCGGCCGCGGAAACCTACGTTTCCCTGCTCCGAGGCTCGCAGCTCAACGCAGCTAGCGAGGGGAGGGGCGAAGGGTGCAAAGGTCGCTTCCCGTCCGCAGATGCATGTGGTGCGCGCGCGCAAGGAGGTGATCCTGTCGGCGGGCGCCGTCAACTCCCCGCAGCTGCTGCTGCTATCCGGCGTGGGGCCCGCGGCGCACCTCCGCGAGCTGGGCATCCCGGTGGTGAAGAACGCGCCGGGCGTCGGCCACAACCTGCAGGACCACATCGGCCTCGGCGGATTCACGTTCATGGTCAACCAGCCCGTGTCGCTGGTGCAGAGCCGCTACGAGAACGTACCCTCCGTGCTCAAGTAAGCGCTGCGCACTACCGCTATCAATCTCCGAACAATAACACGCGAATGTCGCAATAGTACCTTAACAAAAAGAGCAAAGGACCGCGTGCGACGCCCCCTCTCTCTTGTCCTATCTTCTCCCTTTACATACACACAAACCTACGCACTACACTACCACACCTATAGGGAGACGAGACGGGAGCACAGAGCCTGACCAGATGGTACGTACGAGGTATCAGGAGAGCAAGCCGGCAAGCAATTCGAAATCGGATCTTATCATTCAATGGTGGAGGAACACCGCCACCTTCCGGGATATTTTTTTTTTCTCTCAGCATTTGTTCCAATATCAACCTTTCTGGAAAGAAATATGGCAACTGTTTTTTTACAAGAATTTTACACACTTTTTTGCTTTGATTGCAATAAATGTTCACACTACAGATTCTTCACAGTAAATAATACATAATTTTCAATATTTTAAGTTGCAATTTTGCATAAGAAGAGTTTAACATGACTTCCCCATGGGATCGACGGGAAGTGCACCACGTCATGTAACGCAGTACAAACAGCAATATCACTGACAGCCTGCTGCCTTCTTGTGATATGAAAGTTGTTATGATATGCTATGAAAGAAATTTCAAATGATTTGACAGCAATCAAATGATGAGCTCTGTGGTGAAGTATTATTCTCTAGCCCTATTCAGTATAGTTAAACTTGGGCGACACCCGAGTCCTTTGATTTCTCTCTTCATCTTAACACTTAACACAAAAAAATAGAATTAGGGACTCCTGAAAAGGCTGCATAGAGCTTCCATGACTAAATTCAGAACTTCGTAAAAATAATCCAACATATTGATACGTATCTCCTGAGACTTCTTGCCAGTCATTGCGAAGGCAAATCTCAATAGGAACTATCTACTGATTCTTTTGTAATCGTACCCGTTCAGCAAGGATCCTGGTTTGAAGCCAGTTTCTTGGACTGTAGTCTTTCATTCACTCTTTCAAAAGTTATTTTCCTCCGCATAATTAAGGAAATGCTATCTTGAATTTTTCACTTCGTTATCAGATGGCTAGCACGCTCCCATGACGACCGTGCGAATTACGTGCGTATAACTCGAGTAAAGTTTCTTTAAAATTAAATAGAAAAAAGTAATGTCTTTTATCGTAACGTACTTTCTCAGAAGTCAGTAAAAAATTCCTATCTACTAATACTTGTATCATATTCATCATAAACCAAAAACTTGGCAAAAAACTTGGCTTTTTTGGCAAAAAGAGTGTAGATAGGATTTAGGAAACCTAAATTGGAATAGTATATATTATTATAAATATGTTATACAGGTGATTCAAAAGTATGTACAACTATATTCCTTTAATTTTCATTAATATCATAAAATGTAATATTTATTGTTGACTAGTCAACTATCCGGCGCCGTTCAGGGATTTATTTATGACAGTCTATCAACGAGCTCGTAACACCCCTTTCGCTCTGTCCATCTTGCTCGTTCCGCACATCCCTCCACCAGGCGAATTCTGGTCCCACTAACAGTATATTTACTACTACCCATATTTATTAGAGAAACATCTTTCCAGTTTGATGAACTTTCCATGAAGTTCCACGAAGTCCTTGTTTCAAAACAATTGCACTAATGCACCAGAGGTTGACAAATACCCACAACATTTCACAACACGTGACATGAACGTCTTTCTTTTCAAAGTATTAACTCATCGCAAATATTAGAAGAGGGCAGTTAAGCACAGAGCGGCGTTCACACATTCGAACACCACTTGTGTCATGTGTTAAATGCGTCTTTCCGATCCTACACAATGCAATTTGCCATTGCAAGGTCGACAATATTCCACATCTGTGCTTTAAGCACTAATTGATACGTCTGAACTGATGAGTTTCGAAAAGAATGGAGAAGAAGAAAACAACCAATTTGATCTCTTGCAAATCGATTCATGAGAAGGCCTGTACAAACTGGCGGCGCACGTCAACTCAGCTCAGTCGTGTGATAACATCATTGAAAATCACTCACACTCAATCTTCGCAATTATTTCAATCGAGAGTGAGAGTGAGTAAGAGAGACGTTGCGGGGGGACGGAGGGATGGAGAGAGAGAGAGAGAGAGAGAGAGAGAGAGAGAGAGAGAGAGAGAGAGAGAGAGAGAGAGTGAGTGAGGGGGAGGGAAGAAGAGAGTACTGAAGCGTGTATTACCAACCGAATTTTATTATGGGTTGTAATATTTTATAACAAAATTCGAATTTATTTATTCATTAAACCTTTGTGATTTTTTTGTTTTAATGCTGCAAACACAGGTTTCATTAGAAACAATACTGCGAACTCACAAATCATATTTTTGAATCTAAAAATGTTATTCATTTGAGTACCACATGATATCAAGACCTTACAACCAGCAACAAGTTGTAGAAAAAATATATGGTCTCTGAAAGCTTATTTACCAAATGAATTTCGAGTTGGGACAATTAGAAATCGGAATCAAGGAAAATATTTTTTTATTGCAGATATAAAACAAACTAGTTAAATAAGCGACAAAATTAATTAAAATAAAAATGGTCTCCTGGCATTATTCCGGATTATACGACCTTACTTTTACTGGAGAATTCTGGTCATTATTATTAACAAATGCAAACGTTCAAAGAATATTGTATGAATGTATGCATGGAACTGCGCACAATTAATCGTTCCGAAGCCTAATGACCTGCAATGTCGAAGTAATGCGCAGCGCATGTTATATCGACTTCCTCTGCCCCGGCTCAGGTACGCCATGTTCGGTGACGGACCGCTGACGGTGATGGGCGGCGTGGAGGGCCTGGCCTTCGTCAACACCAAGTACCAGAACGCCAGCGAGGACTGGCCCGACATCGAGTTCCACTTCATCTCGGGCTCCACCAACAGCGACGGCGGCCGCCAGATCCGGCGCGCACACGGCCTCTCCGACTCTTTCTACAACGCCGTCTTCCGTCCCATCGATGACCAGGTACCGCCATTGGCATCGCGTTACTCCACTCTGTCGCCTGCTTACACACTTCATTGCTTTCAACTATCTGCCCGGGTTCGATTCCCGGTCGAGGGGGGAAAAATGTAGCTTTCCTTTAGAATCGTCGCGGTTTCTGTAGCTATGTGATGCTGGAAAGCTCAGGCAGGCGGAGTTTGCTAGTTAGAGTGAAGGGAATACGTCTCGTTCCCCACTTGTCTCTTATCTTCCACGTGTGGGAATTAAAGTAGGTTCAGGCATGAGAGACACTGTTAGCTAGCCGGTAAAATAAGACAGTCGCCCCAAAATGCCAAATATATACGTCCTTTACAACCACATATCGTAATCTCTAGATCATTGTAGTTGATGTACTATTTAAATACACCGATTACTAAATTAAATTGTTATATTTAAACTAATACTCTTTTCCCGGACAGAAAAAATTAAATCTCGACTTCCAGGCACGAACCACTTAATTTTTATTTATTATTTATTTTTATTTATTTACTATTTATTTATCCTTTTGTAAACCATTTAAATTTAACCCACTTTCGGATTAACATTTTGCAAAGTTAAAATTAGAAAAATAGTGTTTTACTTCCCCAAAAATAAGGAAATACATACAGGCTGATAGGATGCAAGTGACTTAATAAAAACTATTGTCGTGTGCGGAATTGCACAACTATGAATTTTACATTTTGAACATCTTTGCATCAGTCCAAGTCACATAAAATTCATGTTAATTCTAAATACGTTAGGACGGGAAAACCTGAACATGAAATTTATTCAACTTTACATTCACAAAAATGATGCGTTGGCAAGCGTAGGGACAATGTATTCTCTCTTAGTACAATCAAAAGAAGAAAACTTCCTGTACACTTGTACGTGACAGGAAGTTTACGCAAATCTCAGCATTAAAAAGCAAATCCGCAAGCTTCAGCATTAAATAAAAGAAGGATCCAGCGTCCACAGTTTTAATAAACACTCACGTTTAATGAAAAGAACATGCGTCAACCATAATGAGTTAACGGTATGAAGAGTTTAACAAGAAAAGTATTTCTCTAATAGTCAAAACAGTTATGCACGCTCCGTTATATAACTAACTGAAAGAGACCTCTGTTTAGTCAGACGTTAGTGTACGGGTTTAATATATTTATTGAAGACAATATTTATTCAACCATAAAGGCAAACTTTTTTCACTGAATATTACGCCTAAACAGTGAAGGAATTGTATTTCTTAGGTAATTGAGAAATATACTATTTCAACAAGAAATTATCACTGCTGTTTGAAATATTATTTCTACCCTAATTTTCAAATGTCTGGTAATATTTTTATAATTTTATGTATTTCGTATAATATAGGCTTTTGAGATTTTTTGGTAAATTTTTAATTGAGTCATTAGCATGACCACTAATACACTTCGATTCTGCCATGACAACCATTAATCACACGTTTTTTTTATTGGCGGCTAGTACGTTATTCTTATGATAAAAGAAATCTTATTCATACATTACGAATTCCGAATCTTACATTTTACTAAGTTTTACACTTTTACTAAGAATAAAAATATAACAGTTGTTAAAAATAGCATAAAACCCTCAGGAGAGAATGCATGGCTTTCTCGGTGTAATTGTAGTCCATGGACATCAAACGTAGACCTCAGGAAAAAAAACTGGTATTTCTTTCCCCTTTATGTATAATCTATTATTTTTTAAAATAAACCCAGATCAATAAAACACAATTAAAGCTATAATATTATTACGTCTCTACTGCATTATTTCAAAGCACCAAACGGCACGTACTATTAATATTGGAGACTATTTATCTGTTTGTGTTATCGGTAATGCACGAAAGAATATTTTCTTATCGCATCGTCTCTATAATGCTCCTGAATTTCTAACTCGTGAAACAGACGAGCGGTTAGAGGAACAAGTCTGCTCTCGTGCAAGACTGGTAGGGAGAGAGAGACCGTCCCCCCTGCCGACCATGATAAGTATTGATTCGTTCCCTTTCAGAATTGCCAGCGCATTAGCATAACGCTCACGTCATAAGCTTATTATCCCCAATACAAATCTCACGAATGTATCATTCGCTTAGCGAAAGGGGTAAGCTCACTACTTTTATAATAATTTCCGAAAATAATGCATAATAATTTCCGAAAATAATGCATAATCATTCTCGTAAAGTTAGATAAATCCAAAAACATTGTTTCCTTCGTCCTAAAGAATTTCTCGTAAGTTGGCAATTGGCAATACGTAATATGAAGAGCTATTACGAATACTAAGAATGAGACTGATAGAACATTACGCCAATCAGATGTCACTCAATAATTATGACGTTCGTTTTAACATAACAAAACAATTGTATAATCAATTCTCAGACGAATTGTATTTCCCAGCATTAACATCGGACCGAATAAATATTTTCTCTTGTTCATTCTTATTAGAAATTAATTTATTTTAACACTAATTTATACGCAGGAACGTTCAATATGTGTACGTCTACTGTATAGAACGGTGTAATGTATCATCATTAAATGTGCCACGTGAAGATGGATTTACAAAAGTGCAAATTTATGTATATTACTATGATAAAGTACACCTAATGACAAATATACATCACTGTAAAAATATGTTAAAAAGTATTTTAAAATCCACTACTTAGAAATTTTACGTTGTTAAACTTACCATTATTATATTCATCATATTTGTATTTAGCATAGTCATATGTATTTTGGATCTTTGTGATGCATAATTTCAAGATTTCATTACCAAGCTTTAGAAGTTACTCGTAGTAGTCAAAAGCTACACGATACGTAGTACATTTAGCATTCAACGACATAACTTATAGCGTTCTTTTTTTTCTTATACAGCAAAGTTACCCGTTAAAAGAGTGGAGGGAGATTGTAACCCGGTACAGGAAAAGCACGGGCAGGCTTTTCGTTTATGGAGGTTTAAACTTGTCTTTCAGACAAGTTTTTTCCTAATTTGAAAATATTAGTGGCTAGAAAGGATGATAGGAAATTAAAGAATTTGTCTGCCAGATTTTTAATACTGTATTCTATTGTGAGAAAATCAACCTCTATACAATTTTTTGTCGAAAACGTACGGCGATCTTACGGCTGTGCGAAGGATCTTTTCTAAAAGGTTGGAGAGTTTTTCATACCGAAGGAGCAGCTTCTCCCGAAATAGGACATGCATAAGTAAGTAGAAGAAGAGCAGTTTTGTAAAGGAAAAAGGGTGAGATCAGCTTTAAGAGACGACTTGTTGTAAGGGAAAGTTTAAAGAGTGAGGCATGTGCCTTGTTATATTTATTAAAGATATTATGCTGTTTTCATACTAGTCTAACGTCAGGGAGTACTCCTAAATGTTTTATTAGTTTATTTGTGGGGTTCCAAGGAACTTTTTGATTGTCAATGTGTACGTGTGTGGGATTGTTAATGCGCCATAGTGCGAATATCTTCACATCACTTTCAGAAGGATTCAGATTTAGTCTCCATTAAGATGCCCAGCCCTGAAAGCTCTCCAAAATAAATGCGACTACGTTTTGCTCTGTTTCAAACGCTCTTGTTCCGCGTGCCGCAGGACGTGTGGAGCGTGATCCCGGTGCTGCTGCGCCCGCGCTCGCGGGGCGTCATCAAACTGCGCTCGCGCAGCCCCTTCGACCCGCCGCTCATCTACCCCAACTACTTCACCGACCCCTTCGACATGGCCACGCTGGTGGAGGGCGTCAAGATCGCGCTGGCCATGAGCCGCACGCGCGCCTTCCAGCGCTTCGGCAGCCGCATGCACGAGCTGCCCTTCCCGGGCTGCGCGCACCTCCCGCAGTTCACGGACGCCTACTGGGAGTGCATGATCAGGCACTACTCCGTCACCATCTACCACCCGGTCGGCACCTGCAAGATGGGGCCCTACTGGGACACGGACGCCGTCGTCGACCCCGCGCTCAAGGTGAGACGCTCTTGCCTTGCGCACCGCACCCTCTTCTTCCTCTGCCGAAACCTGGCTTCGGGGCGGCGGGCACAGTCATACGGGTTGGAACAGTTATTGAGAAAATCTCAACGTCTCATACAATCGCCATCTAGAGCTCTTTTACACTCGCAAAGTTTGTAGAATGACAAACTTAAGAGATCATCTAAAGCACTCAGTCGTGTCTCAAATGCATTAAATACACCCGGAATGCAAATATCCTCGAGTGAAGAGTTTCCAAAAATTTACAATGTCTAATTTTTGAAACATTGAAAGTTTTAACACAGGTGTTTCTCATAGCATGCACATTGTGCTATACGTGCAAACACTTAAAAGAAACAATTTGGTGTAATTTTTCAGAAAATCTAGTTGGAGCGTGTTTGTAAAATTGGGAAGATATGAAAAGTTTCACCAAAACCACTAATACTTTGAAACAAAAACTTTACGTGATCTCATTTCAAATCAAATATTGAGCAATCTTTTGGGTTATCATTTCTCGCTTTATTAATAAATGTGAAATTACGGAAAAAATAACTTCTGCAATTTTCGAAAATTCAATGATTTTAATGCCTCACACATGACTCCGAGCTCTCCACACACAAATAGAATTAAAAAAGCCATTTTTGAGATGAATTTGCAACCTGAAACGGGCATTATAAACAGAACCCCCAAAACATAACAGATCTGTTTCAAATTCCTAGGACATTCAAGACAGCTATATCGATCTGAGTAAATCGTTTTTCGAGAGAATCCTGTTTACCACCTTTCGTCCTAGAGTTGTTCACAGGCCGACGGCCTGATAGGTTTGGTAGCAATAACTCACATGTGGAATTATTTCTCAAAAGGAAACAAACCTACATTTCCAAATAAATTGCAAACAACGTATATTGTTGATGCATTTTTCTTGGTCATGTTATAATACAACTGTGCTGTCTTAGAGTTTCAAATATTAATGTGTTCATACTTTTCTTATCAAATTATTTTTGAGATCCTTTCTATGAGCATAACGGTGGAATAACTTTTTTGTTTCTTCTCTTGTCAAGGATACGGAATTTCATAGTTATGAAATGATTATGTTTATATGCATATTACGTTTGAAAAATGCCTTATTATCATCCCGAAATGAGAAAAGATCCAATGATGCGATGGATTTAGATTATTGGTAACATTCCGACAGTCACACTTACAATTAACATGAACAATTGATGCATAGAGTCGTGATAACTTCGATCACTAACATGCGACTAAACAAACACTCAGCTAAGTTTCTTCAGAGACTTTTCTTTGTATATCAACTAAATAGTATTGTGAACCTTTAATTTCTGTATGGAACGTTTTCATACAAGTCGGAATTTCATATTATGTTACACAATATCCTTTCTTTGATATCTGTCAATATTAATTACATTCAAAAGAACAGCATCAATATTTTATTGTAAAAATGTTATAATAAATGTACCTAAATATCATTTGCAGAAAATATTCTATACATGTACTGCCTCCAAACCTAATCGTTAAAGAATATACAGAAACATGCAGTAGATTAGCATTCTACCCTATTAAGAGTGGCATTGTTTTTAGTGACTATCGTAAATATATCGTTTCATAAGATGAAAAAGTTTTTATAGTATGAAACAACACAAATGTCATGCACTCTAAAAACGATGCCATTCTCTGCACATCCTTTACCATATTTCACATAATGCACACGTTGTTGACCCATCATACTATATTTTATCGAATGCCCATTTTCCCCTTGCATGACGATTAACGCTCTCTGTCGTGCAGGTATACGGCATCCACGGTCTGCGGGTGATCGACGCGTCCATCATGCCGCTGCTAGTGAGTGGCAACACGAACGCGCCCGTCATCATGGTGGCCGAGAAGGGCTCCGACCTCATCAAGGAGTACTGGCTGAAGAAGGCGTGACCGCCGCCACTGCCTGTCCCACCAACGCCCTGAGCTCCGCCGACGGGCCGCTCTCGCACTACGATCACCTGCTGCAGCTGCGGCTTCGGCTACGAAGGGATAGTGGGTATCGGCAGATGACCTCACGGATCTCGTGTTCTAGGAGATTGCTAACTTACACGCCATGGACGGTTCAACTTTGCAAGTCGATGGTCTCCACTTGCACTGAGTACAATTTCGTTTCGGAAAATTATCTCCATTGTTCATTCGCACACAGTAATCCTCGACGGTTATATGCCGGGTAATTCTCAAGTGTGATCGGGGTCCATACGTTGTATGCCATCTTGAACAACACCTGATAGCGGATTCCGTAATAACACAAATCATCTTCGAGTGCCGTTATGAGATGACTGTTAATAGGAACGGGACATTAGAGGTATAGAATAGTATTGTTGAGGCATGCACGACAAAACCTGTGTGTCGATGGGACAAGAAACGGCAAAGAAAAACGAAATAATAATCCTGAACTACTTTCTGTCACACAGTGCGACCGTTGGGAAGTTCAGAAACGTCGCACACAGTACGAATTACGCCACATTCCCATCATTACAGCGACACGCGTAAGGAAAAGTGTCAACGTAATCTATGTTTCCTCTTAGCAGAACTGAGAGAAACGTTTAGTTGCACCATACTCCTGTCTTCGTAATCTTTGAGAAAGATGTTTTCAACACAATGGCAGAGTTTTACCAATTCAATTGAGTGTATCTTTCAATCTATATGACCTAAGAAGCGAGTTTTATCTAATTTGAATATACGTGATGTGTAACGCCATGAATTTTTATATCAGGAAAACGGTGGGTGTATAAGAAATGAGCACATCACATGATTATATTACATCACTTATTATATGAGTTTGCTAACAAAACCAGCTCATTCTATTTGCGAAAAGCGAAGCAAAAACTCTTCTTGCTTGTTCACGGTGCTTGATAAAAATGAGTTGTTTTTTTTCGATACGTTTTACGTTGCAATAATCTGAATTTAATTGAATGAATGAATAATGAATCTGAAGTGAGTTAAATTGAGTTAAATCTGAAGTGAGTTAAAATCTGAAGTGAATTTAAACTCTATGAAGTGAGTTTATGAAGACTTGCAAAATTTGGAAAAATATGGAATTTGGTGAGTAATAGGATGAGATGGTTTCGATATCAAACGCCTCAATATCGAAGTATGTGTAATACAAAGTACATTAATATTAAGATATTATCGTTTTTGAAGTGTACTTAAATGTGTACTTGTCAAAGAACACAAAGCGGCAAGTACATTTTATTATATACAAAAATAATTACCGATTTTTTAATAACATTACTTCATATAATAGTAGTAAAGGTTCCAAGGACGTCCACAATGTTGTAGAATCCATATATAACCAAAACATAAGTCGTACAACAATGATTCGACTCAGTAATTTTAAATTGATTAAAATGCGGTAAATTATTTGAAGAAAACAAAAATAAAGAAGTATTAGTGTTATCTGCAATTCAGACACAAAGAATTTATTAATACTAGTGTTTCAGTGATTGTTATGAAGATAAAATATTGTACATAGCAAAAATCCATCATGAACGAGTAATTCAATAAAATTTATTTATTTTTTACTGTGATTTGTTTTATGTATAGTTCTCAGAAAAGCTTATTACGCTTTTATGTACTTTGTGCTGACAAAACCGATTTATGGTTGACTGCTAATATATTACGATAATGTTTGTGTAATAAAGGGTGAGATGATTCAGAATACATTGCTTGCATTTTAATCACAATTTGCATAACACCAATTCAATTTTGATCAACTAACTAAAATTTATTTTTTCATTTAAAAAATGTTAAATAGATCTCTTCGCGATACCGACGTCCACACCACTGAAACTGACATTTACTGTAAATTATTACACCAACTAAATTGCTCAGTTTGCAAAGTAGTGAGATTGTGAAGTCAAAATTATCAAATATACAATCTTCTATGTTGTTATTTCTATATCTTTTACAGTTCCGAATGAAATCGTACATCATGGTTCTAATTGTTTATAACCTGAATTTTGTTCGAATATTACTATTTTATGGATGGCATATTAACCATTAATTTTAATTTCTTACATAAAAATCACATTCTATTTTTGTTTATCAGTCATTAGTAGTAGTTTACAACGTCTCCATAGCATTTTCATTTTAAATATATTGGACTAACATATTTTTTTAATGAAACACTAAACCTTTTTTTTTATTCAAAACGACGTTGAATAACTAATTTAGTGACCACGTATGTACCTATTTGATGAATAATTATAAGAACAAATGTGTTTTAAAATATGACGTTACAGCCGGTTCGAGAGTTCGCGGAGCGGCTGACATTTGCAAAGCGAAGTTTCGTGACCATGCGGCAGGTCAATTTTGCGGGCAGTTAACGCAGAAACGTTTAGAAATTTGCAAACCATATGCATTGTTATTAACAGTATAATTTCAGAGAAGTTATTTCGTTCAATTAATGGCTTTAGGCAAATGCATTAGCACATACTGTATAAAATTGAAGTTACATTAAAAAACATTTCATGTCAATAATTCTCTTACTGATAAGAAGTATCTCACATGAATATGACCTTGTCCCAGAATAATGCGATATATATATTTTTTTCATTCGGGTATCTACCAAAATCAAAGCGGAGAATACGCTAACGCTGCGATTTGTTCCGCAATGATTTCAAAAATGCAAACCACGTAATGTTGTCTGTGAGGTGTATCGCCCAAGAGTTATGCTACTGCACTTCAGACCAGTAGGCCCCGTTTAAAAATCGAAGTTGTTTTAATCTCCTTTATGAACGGTGCTACTAATTAGAACCGACCAGAGATTTCCTAATCTCGTCAATTCATTCTTTTGGAGGAAAAATGAAGTAAGTAGCTTGGACGATTGTAACATGTCCGGGCTTCCCCGGGTCGTTTCTTGAAAAGGAAATTCGACGGATGTGGTCGGCAGGTTGCTGCACTGCCCTGCGCCTTGCGGCTTGGGGGCCGTTGTGATTCCCGGCTCCGCGCCAGGAACTTCTGTGAACTTGAATTCGTATGGTGCTGGATATCGAACTCTTTCGTGCTGCTAATTAATAATCGAATACCAACATATGTAGTATTGCTGAATTTGTCATCTGGAGGCCTATCCATTCGTGTAAAAAATATAGTTAGTCCAAATATTACAAGCAAAGTTATTCGAATATCTTTAAAATAACACATGCTACCAAAAAGCTAATATCTACAATTGATTAGCACCATTATACTGTATCGGTGAAACTTTCATTTGACTACCTTGAACCATTTAGAAGATATTAGAGGTAGGCGTTTTTATTGACTATATGCTGTATACAATGTACGTATGTAATATGAAAAACTACGAAACTGTTAATATAATTGTATTATAAATACCGTTTTGTACAGCATTTTCAGTTTATTTAAATGTTTTGGAAGTTCATATGAAAATGATATATTATTTTAAACATGCAATCTAACAATAAGTAACTACGGTCTACTTCCAAATTCAAGCTTAAAACTCAGCAGCACTGTTTTAGAAAGGAGGAACGTTTTTCCTGACCTGCTGGTATCAGGCAATTGAATAAAATTGCTGAAAAGTCGTATCAGTTTTCTTTGTACTTACTGTAGATTTTTTTAAAGCATAATGACGCAGCAAAAATTACCTGCAAAAGAAAAAAAAACATATTCAATATTACATTACTGACAATACATATTAATACAAAGGTGCATTGTATAGAAGTATTCAGATTCTACTAAGTTTGTAAAAGCGCTCTTTGTTGCCATGTATGCAACTCGAAGCATAAGTACACAAAAACCCATGTGTATATGCCCGAAAGCTACCTCGATGACTCAAACCGGTTTTAACTTTCCTTTCGCCTCTCCCAGACAACTAAAAGCGAGATTTCGTACTCGTAAAAATCTTGCAGCAGGTGTAATGCACTCCCCAGCAAGAATTATTCACACGCATCCTGCCAGTCAAACCTGAAGAAATAGGCTCGAAGGCAGCACCTCACGCGACAATTAAAAAAAAAAATGTTCGTAAAAAGGTGTGAAATTCGAGGATTAATGCAAAAGTAGCTTTTTTGAGATGAAGTGAGTCATTTGTCAAAAATACAAAACTGGATGCTTAACATATGATGCTAACGTTCCATGTATGAATTTTGAATCACTTATGATTCTGTTTCAGTTTAAATATAGGACAAAATCTAAAACATCAATCAATCGCCTTAAATTTGTTTATTCCTCTCACAACAAAGCGTAATCAATTAAGCACACCGATGATATACACAGTACTATTGTCTGAAACGGGTACTTAATCAGGGTAAGATACACTTTTCGCCGGGTGATACTATTCAGACATATCAAATTCTATCATTTAATGACCCTGGTACTTGACGTGCCCGGAATCACTAAAAACTCTATCATAGCCAATCTTGCCAGTCTATTTCAAAGGAATATTGTTATTATAATAAGAGTAATAAATATATTAAAAGGAACACGTTTGCACAGTAAATATAATAGGCCGGACGAGCCACAATCAATTTGTTGCGTAGAAAACGTACTAGTTGAAATACTTCAATTATTACACAGTTTAGAAATTGTGCCAATTTTCAGGTGAATATTTGTAATAAGGAAATGTAAATCCTGAAAACGACGGATTGGCAGAGAGACTAGCAACCCATCGGCGTATCACAACCGCATCACTTGCGTTCCGTTTCCATTCCGCTCGCCAAGCGTCTCCTTGTCGGCAGCCGCACATGTGCTCGCAGCAGCGGGCAAGGTCGGCCGTCTTTTCAGCAAAGAGGAAAATCTGTTCCACGCGGAGCCCCGCGGCGCGAGGCCTTGAAAGAGCAGCTCCCCAGCACTGCGGAGTTACAGGCACTTCAACCTGCGCCACGAACGCTGCGCGAGGCGGCAGAACCGCCCGAGCCGAACGCGTCCCACACTTCGAATCAATCCGAAACTCCTGAGTTTGTGACACATCACAGACACATTAGGATAGAAAACTTTAACGTAGGTGCGCGTTCAAGTTTAAAAAGAAATTTCATAAAAAACAGCACTACCCAAATGCTGAAATTGATAAGTCTTATTTATACAATGGAAATTATGCAATTAGAATACTATTTAATGCTGCCTAGCAAATCTAATCAATTTGCTGTTTCAAAAGTTTATTGGATTAACGCAACAGCTTGCCATGTCATTTTTGTTTACAATGAAAACTATAGCGACGTAAAGAACAGGTGATATTGATTTGAGAAATAAAGAAGAGCAAAATAAAAGGTGATTACTGTAGTGGCTAAGTTGCCGTAACAAAAACTTGAGGTAAACACAATACATTATTAGTCGTCAAAAAACAAGACCAATTTTTATTCCTGTGTGCGTTTAATTCTGCACCGTTGAAAAGTTCCTTACTTCTCCAGTTTTCCGTAAATTTTGAAGATTTGTTATTTTTTCAAAACATATACGAGTCCTAAGCACGCGCGTAGGTGATAGGAGAAAGCAGGGGAATTCCCCCCCCCCCGAAAAAATTTGGAACTCCCCACCCGTTGTCTTACGTAATAAAACATTTTATTTAGGTAAATATGTCCGATTTCAGATAAAAGTGACGTACACACAAATTTAGTTACATTCTAAAATTTAACGATGGGAGATGGATGGTCTCATTGGTATGCCCACATGTCACGTAAAAGATTAGGTGAGAGTTATTGCGTTATTTTCTAGAGATACAATATTTTAAAAATTACGGTCTTCTACTTAGTAATAAAAGTCATTACTTGATGCTCTAGCCGTTAATTTCTTGACTCAAAAATGCAAAATCGTCCGGAAACAGCTAAAAATTCTGAAAAATGTACGACACCGTCCTAAAAAAATTAGGCCAAATCGTAGTTGATTCTTCTTTCAACGACTCAAAAATACACTTAAAAATGTTGTATACAGATAATAAGACATAGGCAAGTAAAATTTAAAGGAAAGGCCACCGGAAACTGTGCCTTTCCAAATCTGGTTTTCGCAGCGCACGCCTATCATAGGAGCAAGTTGGTTGCTTCGACCACGACAGCAAAAGAGAGAAAAAGAACGGGAAGTGAGGATCACCTTGACTGGCGTTACTTAACTCTACCAAACATCAGCAAAAAGACGTCCTTGAGCGGGTAATAAACCACTCTCGTACTGAACCGAATCCAGCATGAGTGACACGTGAAAAAAGAGTTCCCGAGTTTCTGTTTTAATATGGCTTTCGCTACTTGGAACGAGGGAAATTAAAAAAAACATACTACACTTCTCCAATATGTTTTGGAAAGAATTTTCATTAATTTCTCGCAAAATTAAATTCATTCTTGTGTCTGTTTGACTCAACTGTTCTCTTGAAATTAAAGAATGTTATACGCACATAGTATAAGAAACAATAAAATTGTTCCTATCTCTGAAGAATCTATCAACTAAAAAAGAGAAATTTCCAAGTCGAGCTACAAGGTAAGACTACATATTTGCTTATTGGGCAAGTTAACACCTTCCATTAAGACTGGAGACCCAAAATATTTCTTAAGTGTTTTTTTTTATCCCAGGAAGTGATCGGAACCAGAATAGGCAGGAAAACATCACAAAAGTCGGACAAAATATATATTAAATGCATTTCGTACAAAGTTTTTTGAGAACTGAGAATCTCAAATGAAGATAAATCTCTAAGAAGTCATGACGAAATTAGTACATTTTACACAAGCTTTAATTCAAAAGAACAAATGTGAGTCTCAATTTCAAAACACCACGTTTTGGAACCACTCGTTGAGGGCGTACGACCCTCCAGCGATATCGTAATCAACTTGAAACCTGTAGCAGTAAAAATACTGCTCAATCAAGTCATACAAAATGTTTTACCAAAACGTAGCCCATGCACTGGCCAAGAACAAACAAAATACGCTCGTGTAACGCAGCAGTAAATAAAATATTTTAACAAGCACTCATCACGAACACTGCAATTACACAGTTTAGAATATAGGTATTCACAAAAGGACATTTCTTTAATACCAAGAATATCAATAACATTGCTCACTCAAAACAAAACACATGAATAGTAAATATTTAATGGTGGACAGCCATTTTCTTGGGTTCTTAATGTTGCATGATGGGAAGTAATACATTCATATATTTAAATTTTTCAGTGAAAATTGAAAGTAATTCATTGTTTTTGTATATTTCCCGAGTTTCTGAGTATCTAACGAAACCATAGACCCATCTCACGTGGTCGGAAGCTGCGTAGTTTTGTTTGAATTTCTACGCGCATTGGAAATTAATAATATAGATGTGTGGAAGATCATCTTCTGTCATACGAACTCGAATAAAGTAAAACATTGTACAATATACTTTTCTCAATGAGACAATCAATTCTATAGGCTCTATTTCCTAAGGAGGCACAATTTCTTTTAACTATTCTTGCATAAAACATTATATAACATACGTATACGATTAAGTACACTGTTCAAAGTGCAGAAATATGAATGCATTGAATTTAAAATGTCGATAAAGTTGAATGCAAGAAATACTAAATGCTCTTTATCTATGTGCAAAAATCGTGATACGGAAGAACGATACGGAAGAAAAGTTATTTTTTTGAAGTCTAGAATTTTATTATAGATTGAAGGATAAAGCAAAAAAAAGTACAAAATAAAGATGTGAAAGCCTTAATTTTGATAGTTTACGGAATATTTGTGTAAAGTCTTCTTGTATGTCATACGCAGGAGAGGAAGATCAATATACTTATTGTTTTAGAAAAGAAATACTGATATAACGAAAGTTAAACAGGCAAATTTGTAAAGAACAAACACATTTAATGAATCTGCAAAGGTGTCTGAACACAAATATTAAGGAGGACCAATTACAATAATATCAATCAGTTGCAACTGGTCATGTGAAATACGTTAAATGTGGTTTTGGTAACTCTGTAACCTATTCATTCGTGAAGGCATTCTGCCCCGAGAGAAGATCAGTTCTCGAGGAGTGTTCAGCACAATCTTACAATTATTTAGAAGTACCATTCTCTTTCACAAAACAATTTAACATATTACAAATGAACTTAAACACAGACGCAAGACTTACGAAAGAGCTAAATGCATTTTCTAGGGTTTGAATAGACTACCCATATATAGTAGTCGAGTCTGTTAACCACCCTACGGGCTTATTCCAATGTAGCTTTACGCACGCACAAAAAGTGAAAATCGCATTCACGATCTTCGCAAGCGTCCTCTAAGAGAATGGCTGCGTTGACCTAGGAAACACTTGCAGCGCTTGCATTCCTACGGCATCGCGTTTGTTTCTCCCGGACGGCGAGGCCGCGCGTGCCTCATGCCCAAACACCAGGGGCGGCAGAGGCGGGCGGTGGGCGGCGCGTGGCCAGTCTCCTTCCGCCGCCGGCCCCGATGCACCGCTGGCCGCACAGCGCCATGCTCTTCTACCCGGGGCTCGGGCTGCTGCTGGTGCTGCTCGTCTTCGTGCTGGCCTCCGAGGGGCGACGCAGGGCGCAGCGGCGCGCGGAGAAGCTGCGAAGGGCGTGGCTGGCGTGACGCGGCGCTTCACGGCCGGAGGACGTTGCACTGCTTTCCCCTTCAAGCCGCCTTCGTCGCCTTCTCTACCCCGACGGAAGGTGTCTTTCAGATCCGTCAGTTCACGAACCAATTAAAAGACCTTTTATCTACATCTGCGACATCATTCACTGCTACTCTTACAACATTAATGTGTTCAGTGCCAATGGCGAACTGAGCTCCAAAACTCCGAAGCGGAACAAGTGCGCCGAGAGCTCATCGACTCAGATTTCTTGCATTCGAGGTCAGTGCTCTTCGTGGGTGTTGGGCGGCACGAGCAACCAAAGTTTACATTCCGAAACCAATTGGCGTTCTCCAATCCGTGACTGGGTGAGAGCGCTGACGTATGCAGAAAGGTTGTGATGTGGAACGCAACAAGTGGGGCGCCCAGAAAGTGTACTTTCTTTCGACAGGACAATTGATTTGGAACGATACTCACCTCTAAAGCTTATTAGCCACATCGTGTGCAAAACGGAATTTCGTCACTTGTTCAAAACAAGAATTGTATTTCAAGAAGTATTATGAATACAATTCCTTAAAACAATACAATTCTGAAATCTGAGATTTTGATAATCGATTATCTGGGAGACTCACTCCTGTCCAAACAAACTAAATGACAATTTTCTTTACCAAGAACAGCATTAATATGAAATAAATAATATGGACAAAGAGTACTCAACAGTTCTCTCGAAACGTTTAAAAAAGCAGTGATAGCCTTGTGAAGTGCGCAGTCGCTGTGCGAGTGCGTACGTGCGAAAACTGCGCGACTACATTGACACTTCTCAGAAGCGCATGAACAACAGTGATGTTTCGTATCCTGAACTTACAAAGAACACCTAAAAAGCCAGCCGGTCGAAAAGCAGTGTCAGGTAAGACCACAGATGCAAAAATATAGCAAGTTCACCATATCAAGCAATTTCACCATTTTTAATTTTATGAAAAGACAAACTTTCTAAACTTAAAACTAAACATTATAATAAAATTGCATAGAATTTTCACTAAGACACGAACAACTAAGAGAGTTACAAATTAATTTTTCTTCAGGACTCCAGATTATATATATTCTCAGAGTCGTTACCAGAGAAGGGGAACGGGTTCATCGGTCATCAGGCTTCCCTCCTCAGAAGTCGATTACACATTCACAAACGCAGATTTTATTACTTTTCTATAGCAGCTGAGAAATTAATTTCCTCACTTGAATACGTTATAAATTTAAATCAACAAATCAAAATACATTTTAAATTAATGCAAGGCATTAATGAAAGGCTGTGAGCTTGACCTACACCTCTACCCGTCCCATAAAATCAATGAGAACTAAAACTTCTTACAACATTAATGTTAAAAAAAACAACCAACATATATATTTTCAGTTTCCTATTGTGACGTGTTTATGTTAGAACGATGAAATAAGAGAGATAACCAAATCACTATGCGTACATGCCCGTCTGATCTAAAATGTACATATTTTTCTTCCTTAATTCTTTACGTCCACTCTGCACAGAGATTTCAAACTCTTCCGGCATGCGTTTGTTATCCGTACACAAAAACTGCTGAGTCGTGTTGACAGGCCGTAGTTGGACGTGTGCAGAGCAGAGCTGGTAAAGCATTTGTTTACTCACAGCTGAGTCAGCTCTGGAGGTCTGAAATATTGGATAGTTGTTTTAGAGGTCGCTATAATTGCTAAACAATTCACATTAGCGCAATATAAATGCGTTGCCTCTTTCAATGACACATGGCAATGTATCATTACACACGAACATTTCACATGGATCAAAATTAAACGGTTTTGTATAAACAGTATTTGATAAATATATTATATACAAGATAGTGCAACAATAATACAGCCTGCAAATAACAATATCCTAGTAATTAACTATTCCAATAGATAAAACCGAAGTGCTTATTTATTCTTATATTTTTTTAAATTGGAATATTTAGTATATATTAGAGAGAGGGATAGAAGTAACAGTGAAACACCGTGACTATGACTACGACTGATCGTGAACGCTCATCGTGAAACCACAAAACTCCCGATCAGTGCAGCCGGCCGCTAGAATTCTACTCAAAACAGGGACTGAATTCAATTAGCTGACAAGCTAGTGTCGAGAATCCTGCCACCGTCGGGACTCGAGCCTAAGACTTCCCTGTCAGAGGTACTGCACTGATGTCATCAGTCGATGCTCTGAGCCACTTCTCCCGGTGATCTCTCTTCAAATGTTCCCAATTTTTTTAAATGTCTTCTTCAAATTCTCTTATTTTCCCCAGTTTTCCATGTGTTCCAGAAAGTGACCACCCCGCATAATAGCGATCTGGACGTCTCAGAAGTTTCTGGCAGCGAGCAAGCGCGCCGCTGAAGAAGTGCTCGCTCGGCACCACTGGCCTTGGGGGGCCGAGCTACAGGACCGAGCAGGGACCGCCGGGGGAGCCAAGCTGGAGCCGAGCGAGGCGCTGGAGTGGGCGGGCCCGGAGGCTGGGCCTGCGCCGGGGCTGGGGCTGGGGCTGGGGTCGCGGCCGCGCCCGGGGCTCGGCCTGTCGCCGGCGCTGCTCACCCCCAGCACCGCCACTACGCTCTCCGTGGTGCGCATCGCGCTCTCCTACGGCGCGGGCTTCGGCTTCGTCTTCATGCTGCACTCGGCCGTCATGATCCACCGCCCGGACATCGTCGACGGGCCGAACCGCGTCAGGGACACGCCCATCAGTGAAATGCGCGCAGAGTACGACTTCGTCATTGTCGGTGGAGGTTCCGCAGGTAAGTCTGCTCTTTAGCTGAACCATTCCAATTCCCATTTTAAGTTTACGGGAGGTTAAAAATGAAAAAATAACCATGCCGGTAAATTTGACATAATATAACAAAATTTATAAGATTTTTTTGAATAATATAGGAATGAACCAGATAAACAAATAAGATGTTAAATTATCATTATGGAAATAATGTAACAAATAAAAGTATTCATCTGCAGCTGAAGAGAAAGAAATCTGAACTGAAAAGACTGCTATTATTGTTCATATGAAACCGAAATTGATATTTTATTCTCTCTCGTGACAAGCCACATTATTCGTTGCGGCAAGGCAAATTGCGTGACGAGCACGCGCGCGTGCGCAGGGTGCGTGCTGGCGAACCGGCTGAGCGAGGAGGGCAACTGGAGCGTGCTGCTGCTGGAGGCGGGCGGCGACGAGACCGTGCTCTCCGACCTGCCGCTGCTCTTCCCGTCGCTGCAGCTCACGCCACTCGACTGGCAGTTCAAGACGGAGCCCTCTGACAGCTACTGCCTCGCCATGAACGGCCAGCGCTGCAACTGGCCGCGCGGACGCGCGCTCGGCGGCTCCAGCACCATCAACGCGATGCTGTACGTGCGCGGCAACCGCCGCGACTACGACCAATGGGCGGAGCTGGGCAACCCGGGCTGGAGCTACGAAGAGGTGCTGCCCTACTTCAAGAAGTCTGAGGACATGACGATAGCGGAGTTCTATGACCCCAGGTACAATATTCTCAGGTTATACAACGCTACAAGAAATATACCTCCAATAAATATGACCCTAGTAGAGCCATGAACCGAGGCGATGCATATCAACTTCCTCATTAGAACAAATCAGTAAGTACACTCGTACCACTGTCCAATTCTCAAATATGTCATGCACATTAAATTGTTACATGCTTTCAAAAAATGTCAAATTATGAACTTTTAGACGCGTCTTGCATTTTACGCGACATTATGCGCTCATGTTGAAAATCTCATCCATCTCTTTGGGTTCCGAACGTGAGAAAGTACACATTCTTAACTCTCTCAAGTGGTATCTTTCTTCTGTTGGTTTTCGCACGCGTTTAACGAGGGGACGTGTTGTGCACACGCAGGTTCCACGCGAGGGGAGGCCCGCTCACAGTGGAGGAGTACGGCTACCACTCGCAGTTGACCGAGACGTTCATGGAGGCTGTGCGCGAGCTGGGCTACCCGATCGGAGACTTCAACGGCGCCCGCCAGTCCGTCTTCATGCGGTCGCACGGCACGCTGCGCAACGGCCTCCGCTGCTCCACCGCCAAGGCCTTCCTCCGCCCCGCCGCCCGCCGCCCCAACCTGCAGGTACCAACCCGCGCTACGGCTCCGGTGGACTAGTAGCTCGTCTAGGCAGTAACCGGATAGTGTTTGGGAAGAGGAAGTTTAATTGCAAAAAAGTTTAAACGAAAGTAGAAATAATATTAAGTGTGATCATTGTAAAACAGAATATTTCAAAAAACATTAAATTTACCACATTAGTCAGGGTAGATTTGTAATGCGAGTCAGAGTAGATTTCATCACTTCTCTAAGCAACATAACCCCACCTTCACAAAAAATCTCTTATAAACTCTTCACCCGAACATCATCGAATATATCTCTCTGTAGAGCCTTTTAAACCTCTCCCTCGTTCTTCCTCTGAGATTCCCATTAACCTCTTCCTTTGTGCCCCCGCTGGTGACTCTATTTCATCTCTTCGTACGTACTTGCTCCAACCTGCAGGTGCCCGCGCTGTTACTTTCATTACGGTCTCCGGCGGACCACTAGTTCGTGCTATGGCTTCGGTTTAATTAGATACTCGTAGTGTTCGGGGAAAGGAAGTTAAGTCGTAAAAGTGGATTCTAAGAAACGTAGAAATACCATTTTGCGTGAGCATTGTAAAACAGAATAACCCAAAAACATTAAATTCATTACGTTGCCGGCGTAGGGTTTAGGTTTAGCTCCACCTGGCTAAAAAGTCGCAAAATTAAAAGTTCCGTTAAAAAGGCTACACTTTCTTGTTATTAAAGTGTATCACTCTCTTCCGCTGTATTGGCACAAGCATACTCTGTTTCCCCACTTCAACTAAGCATTTGCTTATTCTACCACATAAACCATCAATTGCGTACTAAATATTTCATCGTAATGATTACTAGCAACACTGCAACTCTTTCAAATCTTCACGTAAGCTCACAAAGCCTTCAATTCGCACACGATTAACAGTCGAAAATAATATATTTTCTGAAAACATTCACATCTCGGTATTCACACTCATGGGTAAAAAATGCATATACGCGACGACCAAAGCGTTTCATAGAGAACTGGCTGTATATCTCAGTCAGGTTCAGTTTAATGGGCCGCAAAGTTGTATCCATATTGAGAAATATCCTCAATTTCTACACGTTCACATATTACATACTGACGATACAGTAAGCTCAATCTACGTTATCCGTGACGTCCCTCGTTCCCGAGTCCGGGAAAGACTCGCGAATGTTGAGGCAGTTCCGTGCGCGCAGGTGAGCATGTTCTCGGACGTGACGCGCGTGCACTTCGAGCGGGGCTTCGGCGGGCAGCCGCGCGCCTCGGGCGTGTCCTTCCTCAAGCTGGGCCGGCGGCACCGCGTGCGCGCGGCCAAGGAGGTGGTGCTGTGCGCCGGCGCAATCAACTCGCCGCACGTGCTGCTGCTGTCGGGCGTGGGGCCCGCGCCGCACCTGCGCGACAAGCGCGTTCCGCTCGTCAAGCACCTCCCGGGCGTCGGGCAGAACCTACAGGTACGGCGCCCGTCATTTCCGGGGGTTGCAGTATAATTCATTCCTTTGAGCTTGATGTTAAGTTTGGAATATTTTTTATGAACATTCCACTCTTGAAGTTAAAACCAATAGTGTTTAACTGAACATACAAAATGCCCCAATCAGGGTGGTGTATCTCGAACAGTTTATCGCTTGTTCTATCCGATTTCTCTTACTGCTTCTACCTACTGGCCAATCAAACTGACTCTTCTATCGTAGGAGGCAGTATACGTCGATCGCTATGTCGATGTTTAATAAACAGCAAATGTACTACAATATAACATATTTTAACATACGCTTTGAGTTATTTTCGATATTTGGCGCCATTTGGAACTCTGAATTAATTTCACTCGTGAAATAGTCCTATTAAATACAATTCATCCTTTGGAAATTCCCAGACAAATCCCCTCCTCGCTTCGCGTAACGCAAATTCATCGACAATTTCTAAAGCACTCGTGGTATTACCTATGATAATAAATTACTTACATTTTCATCAAGCAAATCCAATTTTCTAACGATACTTTACGGGAAGTGCAACAATGAACATTTTAAGGGGTATTTCAATCAATATTAGTTTCAATGGCTGAGGTTTACAAAGGCATGAACATATAAGTGCGATAAGAGAAAAACAACCTTCAATGTCATAGAAAAATACAAATAATATTACACACGTAAATATTTTAACTAATCAATTAATAATGAGCGCCACATGACTTTTTAGAACGTTTTGTTACAATATCGCAAGTAGTCCGCACAATGTCACCTTATTTATCGGATTGAGCACTTTTACGAACGGTCTACTAACGTGCATTTGTTAAAAGAAATATTTTCTCCCAGTATGTATTCCTGTTTAATGCATCGTCAAAGGGCGAATCCGTGTCCGTAAATTATGCAAACCACTGACGACTTCCTTCCTTGGGCAGTCCGTCATACCCCTGTGCCACGTTGGTTGCCTAACTCAGGCGCCCATGACAGGACACTTTATTTGATTCGCAGTCGTCATTATACCGGATGTGACTTTGCATGTGCTAAAAAAACAAGACACCGTTGTCCAAAAATTGTTGGCAAAAATGATAAAGTTACGCAAGTGTCACTAGGTTTGTGTGACGAGAAAACAACATGTAACGTTTGTCCAATGCAACATCTTTTCTTGATTACGCATTAGGTTCTGGAGTTTCCAATTGACAAAATTTGTACTAGTATTATTAAGTTTTCAGAAATTTATTTTAATTGTTAGTGAAAATAGCTAGATACTAATAGATCAAAGAAGCTGCACAGTGGCTGTTCATTCTTGGTTTTCGTGCGCAAAAAATGTAAATGAACAATTTTTTTAAACGAGGAAAAGAACGCTCGTCTCTACAGGTAAATAAACAAATTTCCAAAGCCTGAAGCTCGTCGTGTGGCAGGACCACGTGGCGCTGGGCGGCGTGGCGTACCTGCTGGGAGAGCCCGGCGAGGGGCTGGCGCTGGACGGGCCGGGCTTCGTGCTGCCGCGCGTCATGACCATGGACACCATAGCGCGCTTCACCTTCCACAACGAGGGACCCATGCTGGCGCTGCCCGAGAGCGATGTCATGGGCTACGTCAACACCAAGTACGCACCGCCACACGACCAGATTCGCACAAGGATTGTGTTAACAGTCCACTTCGGATGTGTATCAAATTCTTTTTTTAAAAAAAACAGTATTTTCTGTCAATACTCTTTTGATGCTAGCCCTTACCATTTCAAGGAAAATAATTTGAATTCCGATACTATTAATCAAACACGTGTTCAATTCCAATTTTATATCATACAACCTATCTACAAAGATACATTAATCGAGCATTGAACGTGGGAGTGCAAAGAGGGAAGCACGCGAGAAAGCAATGTAAGCAAGTGTGCAAATATGCACTGAGAATGTTATTCCCGTACATATTACACATAGACAATAAAAGACCGCGTAATTTGTCTCGAATATTTGATCGTAAAGTCGCAGTCCCACTGCCACTGGTTTATAAAAAGAAAAAAACAACTAACAGCGCAGGAAACTAACTAGACCTTGCGCAAACCACTAAACGATTGACCTTCGGAGGCAACTTGTGTTGCCGGATTAAGAGGTGACCGCACGGAAAGGAGGGATCCTTGTACTATATTACCCAACACTGCCCGTTCCGCACCTGCCCGCAGCCCGAAATTCGGCCACGGCGACAAGTAACACCTCGAGTACCACGAGCACAGCGCAAGGGCACACCACAACGGCTTTATTAAAAACGTGACCTGCACCCGGGCTCTTGAGAGGACTCTGCTATTGTGCGGCTGCATTCGCCCCCATAAAAAGAAAAGAATGATAGCTCTCGTAAATGTCCTTCAAAAGCCAGGGGAGGGTCGTATACTGTTTTTATTACGCTACGCACGTGTCCTAGTATCTCATGCAATTATGCATGCAATACAATTTACATTGAATTGCAGACGGCTCTGTAATGTATAGTTTCATTTAACACATCGCACAAAACAATACACCAACAAAAAACTATAGATGAAATCGGACCTAGGAATGAAGCTTGATAAAACACTAAATTGCTTTATACAGAATAATACCTACCTACATTTTTTAAGGAATGCCTTTCGAATGATTTTACGCGACACTATATCTGAATCCTAACCATTCACGACAGCCACAATTTGTCATTTAATATTAATATTCCACAAAACAAGTACGGACGGGAGCCGTCTCCCTACAAAAAGGGACTTGTCGTTAGGGGTGTAGTAGTATTTGAAAAAAATTGAATTAAAACCACCATTCACATTGCAACACTAAGGTTATACAAAAGATATTAATATGTGATCAGAAATAATATTCATTGTGCTTCCTATTCTTGTACATTATAAGACATTTGTAGTAAAATACATAGCCATACTCACTCATTAACTTAAGAGTGCAACGTTTTCCTTTCTTATAGAAATACCAGTGCAGTAGTAGGAAGTGCCTGACCATTAAGGAGTTCTAGATATTGGACATTGGAGTTCTACATATACGATTGGAACACATTTTTATATGCCATTTTGCTAAGGTTTTTTTAAAACTCGTTTTGGTAGTGGCAACATTAAAAAATTAACGAAAGTATATCACGAACTTGACCCTCACACGGTAGGGCCCAGAAGGTGGTAGCAAGAGGCAGGTAGGTAGGTAGGTAGGTAGGTAGGTAAGGATGCGCATTGCCCGCAGGTTCGCAAACGAGTCGGACGACTGGCCGGACATTCAGCTGATGCTGGCGTCGTACGCGGAGAACACGGACGGCGGGCTGCTGTCCAAGCGCGGCGTGGGGCTGAGCGACTCCGTCTACGCCGCCGTGTACGAGCCGGAACTGTACCGCGACAGCTTCTCGGTGCTGCCGCTGCTGATGCGGCCGCTGTCGCGCGGGCACATCGCCCTGCGCACGGCCGACCCCAACGACCCGCCGCTCATCTACCCCAACTACTTCGCCGACCAGAGGGACCTCGAGGTGTTGGTGAGTGCACGGCCCTTCCACCGCATTGCAGCAAGGTGTGGAGAATATCACGCACGTACACAAGTCCGCTTCGTAGCTTGGCCTGATGTAAACAACTTCACGAGGACGTATTTTGGGAATCTCTCATAACCACTCGCCTGCTAAGAGAGAAAACGACACGAAACTAATCTAGATCAGAAGTTAAGCGAAATATTTAATTCTCAGTAGCAACATGTCATTAAACTTCTTGAAGGATGTTCATTTTCGTAACTACACATCTTTCTCAGATATTTTCATAACCTCTTACTGCAAGCCAGCGGGGCAGCTAGTATGGCGAGTCACCATAATAGCCGCCAGTAAGAAAGCGGAAGTAGGATAGGAAACCGAAGCATCACGCGCCTTGCCATTCGGCGAAGGTGCAATCCAGGAAACTCTGCTCTCAGCTGCCGCCTCGGTTCCCATCGCCTAGAACTCGCTTTCCAGCTAGCTCAAACAAGTTGCGAAACATTTCTATTAAAATTGTCGTTAGCTACAAAATGTGTATCTCCTTCTGGCAATTACTGAAGTCTTATTCTCATTCTACATTGAATACTTAAAAAAACATGACTTCAGAATTTATCCTCCTTTCCGTAGACTGAATATGGCGTCTATAGTGATTAATTTAAGAGATTAACTAAAGGGGTAATTGATTATCCCCAACAAGTACGTATGAGTATTTTTTTCTTATTTTTATTTTAGTTTCCTTACCGTTTCTATGTGGTAACAGAAAAAAAGTCTTCAAAAAAATTACAAATCTTTTAAAATCTGAAGCTCTCACACATACTCCATAAAATGCAACAAATAACGGACATATTAACCTTTAAAGAATGTACCTTATAATTGCAGAAAAATAAATAAATCACCTCACAAAAGAATGGACAAACAAAATGCTACAAGTGTGCATTATTAACAAGCAATTCCATAGGGCGCTGTAGAAAATTTAAAAAAAACGTAAATTCTTTAACAAAATAGTAAGAGAATACTTTTTAGAGAAATATTAAAAAAACGTTTATGGCGCATTGTCTAGTGAATAGGCGTACTATTTATAGTGAAAGTATTGAACGGCCTAGATCTTCATTATTTTCAACTTTTATCATATCAGAAGAAGTTCAAACTCTCAATATAATTCTGGGTTGATATAGCCATACCATTGTTTCTTCTGTAAACGGAATATAAACTATAGAAAAGAGTGCTGTTAATTGACGTCCTCTTAATTAGAAGCGAGAATACAAAGAGTGATATCCGCTCTCGTAAAGGCAAGTGGGTCAAGCAGCCTCTGACGAATGAGAGTGAAGCCCGCCTCCTGACGCACTCAGAATGCCAACTGCGCGCTCTTCGGCCTTGGGCTTCTTAACGGAAGACCACAAAAAATCTCGAGGTGCCATCATCGAGGCTCAGGAGTCTCGACCCGACACAGACACCTTTGTTGTGGACGGGGTCATCCGTCTGTGCGATCCAAATTTCTACCGCAATAGTCATCGCCCTCCATCGCGTTCCAGAAGGAGTTCTTCGCCTCTGCAGCTCTTCCTCGTACTCTCTCCACTCAGGATGGAAGAATTTGAAGCCACGACAACAGTTTATTTGCGTTCAAGTAGGTCGTTGGGTGAGGTCCAAAAGTTCGTAGGCTCAACCCGGAACGACGTGAGGAAAACCGCGGAGGACATTGAAAGCATAAAAGTTCTGTCGCGAAACACATCAGACAAGAAAGTGCACCCAATCAGCGCCACACGATATCGATGCATCGTTTTGAGAAGCATTCATACGACAATAACGTTTAATCCGCCTCCCTCTGTCACAGTTCCAATTCAATTAACATAGTTAAATACTTGTTTCGAAGGAAATGTGCATACTTAACGTAAATTCAGAATATAACTATGGCGTATTGTGAAAACCTTTCGTTCTTTGTCCGATAATACTTTTATAAAACACTTCGGAAACTCACATCGGGTACATGTGGAGAACTGAGTATGAGTATGATAAAATTGTTTCACAGATGATGCAAAGAAATTGGTGTCTGCAAAGAAACTTTCGACTTGAATTATGGTTTCCTGACCGGGCGCATTTTCAAAACTACGTGGTACTCGGTACCAGGTTTTGAAGTGTGACATAACTCTACCCCATTACATGCTACTTTCTGTATCGTTGGGCTCTAATTCAAAACGCCCACTTTCTACAACAGTTTGTTATGGACCAAAAAAGCGGGAGCGGTTTTCATATTTTTCCTGGTCTGCTTTCCACAGAGCATATTTCATACTGCATGTCCTCTATTTATTTTGCATATTTCCAAAGACGTTTTCATGTAAATAAAACCACGCAACACTTATATTAACAGATACAGAGAAATTTCACATGTGAGCCATAATCCACAACGAACCACACGAAAAGCAGTAGTTTCGTCATGCTGAAAACGTCTACAAAACAATAAGGCGTAAAAACCCGGAAGCGAGAAAATGACACGTAACGTTGCGGCGGGATCAATTTTCCAGCCAGTCATTCTTTGGACAGTCGCTCTCGCAGAAGGTTAATACACCCGGTCGCTACTTTCCTTCCGCAAAACGATACCTTAATACTCCGTGTACAAGTCATCTGTTAATCAATCCGACAATGCAAACACAAAGCGCTGCTTTCCACTGACGTTCACAGATCGCCTGCCGCCAGTTCCCACACAGTCTACGAGTTGGCCCACACACGTCGCCGTCCACCGCAGCGACGAATCGGCGACCGTTCTAAATGGGGTTCTATTGTTCCTTCGCCCAAGCGGGACTCGCCATATTCAATCAGCAAACTCTATTAAATGCAGATATGCTAAACCACCTATGACACTGATGTTCGAAATTAATCGCTTCTTGCAGTAGTAAGCTAGACGCTCAAGTGTTCAAAAACAAAAGTACCATAATTAAACAACGGAGGCTTTCACGACTGAATATGCTGTTAAAAATTAGCCACTGAAGGTATTTGCCGCAGTAGCAGACGAAACGTTGGACACAATGTTCGATAGCCCACGGTTATGCAGGCCGGAAGATATGTTCAATAAGAGTATCATAGTTTAAAAAACGACACGTCTACCAGTTTTAACTTTCTATTTCACATACGAATGCTAAAATATTTGTTTATTCAAACAATTATACTAAATGTAGAACGGCTTATACGTCCTAGGTCGCATTAATAAATACTGTCGTAAAAATACTTGCAAATTGTTTTGCGACAATACTAGGGGAGTGTAGAATAAATTTACTCTTCTCAAGGATAGAAAACGTACGCAGCATGTGGTGTAATGCTGTAATAATATTCAATTTCTGGATTCGAATGTAGCCCGCGGAGGCGCAAGGCGCGCGGAGCCCTGAGGCGGCGGCGGCGGCGTTCTTGTTGTGCGGCAGGTGGAGGGGGCGAAGCTGGCGCGGCAGTTCAGCGAGACGCGCGCGCTGCGAGAGCTGGGCGCCGTCGTCAACCCGCGCCCGTTCCCGGCCTGCTCGCACCTCGCCTTCCTGTCGGACGCGTACTGGGCGTGCCTGGCGCGCCAGTACCCGCTCACCATCTACCACCCGGTGGGCACGTGCAAGATGGGCCCGGCCGAGGACCCCACGGCCGTGGTGGACGCGCGCCTGCGGGTCCACGGCACCGCCAGCCTCCGGGTGGTCGACGCGTCCGTCATGCCCACCATCCCCACGGGCAACACCAACGCGCCCGTCATCATGATCGCGGAGAAGGCCGCCGACATGATCAAGGAGGAGTGGCTCCCCGCCAGACGAGCGCGCAGGCGCGGCGGCGGCCGCCGTCACCGCGCGTGAGGGCGCCACCGGCGGCGGGAAACCGCGCACCTCTGATGCCGAGGGCGGCGCCACCACGTCTCCTGCCGCATCAGCTCCCGAACCGTGAGGTGCATTCAATACGGACATCTTTGGGGAGTACCATCTCTTCGCGCTGACCAAGGAAAGGCAAAAAACTCTTATCTGCTGAATCAGACCGATAACATGTTCCACCAGCGAATTGTAGCATCTTCCGGGAATATAGAATTGGAAACAAGTGCAGAATTGGAAATCTGTCCATAGCAGCACATTGAATATGACAGTCGCAGATTTGTAAATAGTACCTCCCTCAATCACAGTAAAAGATCTAAAAATAATCGGATCGTTTTCTCTAATGCATTAACTCTCTAATGCAAGTGGCAACCAAACGTTACATCGTTCGTGGGCAGTGTATCATAAGCAAAATGACTTGTAAATGTAGTTGAACGAAAATGCACGTCAGGACAAACAAAATTAAGTGGTTTCAGTGTTCATGGTAAGTTGTTCTTTAAAATCCGTCATATATTTACAACTTTGTGTTATTTTATACCTTTTTTTACAAGGCAATAAATAATTTCTTCCAGAAAAATGAAATTAAAAAAATATACACATTCAAAAAGTGAACAGTGAAACATACAAACGTACAACTAGCTTTAAGGTACAGCGTTCATATTTAGGACTCATTTCACAGATACAGAACATAACTACAACGAAAGAATGAGAACTCTTACGTAACATTCCACACATCACGCTAATTCTGTGGGTTCATTTTTTCCAGCGAACACTCTGCTATAACATAAAAAATGTACGAAATCTTCACGAACACGGAGCACGTTTACAACGCAATTCGTGCAAAAAAAGACAGGTTTTGGCACAAAAATGTCGGGAAGCGAAACTTTCAGTCGAAACTTTGAAGTGAAATGGAACAATGAAATATTACAATTCGGAGGAGTGCACTTGTTCCTCCCGACATTTACATAAAAAAAACTCCGAAAACCATTACTAATCTGCAATGATTTGGAAATAAAAGCGAACAATTTCAAATTCACACGAAAATATGTTTGTCCCCCAAAGAAGTATTTCATTTTTCTTGACAATCCTCAGGTTCTCCGCTACATTAACATATTAGCTTTGCAAACATTTTTCTTTACCAGACTTCTTTCATTTGAAGCGCAAGAATGTTTATTCAACCACAGAATTTTAATTTGTTACCTAAAATATATTTCCATTGTAATATAATTCGAAATAGCAAAGAAATGTTTTTTTTATAAAAAATGACTAATGCTCTTTGAATTCGCTTTAATAGTACGAGCAACAGACTGGCAATTTGTGAATATTCATTAAACTCTGATACGGCACGCTGAGAGAATCCAGACGTTACAATTTTGAAAACTAAATATAGCGAAAAATTGCATTATATATGTGAGTATACGTTCCATAAGAATGTTCATTGAAAACATTTATTAATAAAATGGTAGAAGAAATGGGTCCACTGGAATTTTACCAAAACTATAAACGAAGGTCGTGGAGAAATGTACAGATGGCGCTCTCCTATGGTCTGTGAACAGTATTCCTGCTTTATATATTTCCAATTCAATATCGGCATAATCACATCTATAACACATTGTGAACCACAATTCAAAAAATAAAAGATAAGAAAAGCGCACGACTGGTGCTTTCTAGAAGAAAGAAAGAGGTACAAAAATTCTACTAAGCCTACTCGATATCATCTGTAGCACAATTATATCTACACCGACGCCAAGGCAATACTTCCTACTCAAAATGTATGAAACACATGTAACATTACTAAAAATAAGCATTATTACGACGTAACGGTGCGTTGGTGAGAACAAATTAGAGTTCTAACACCTTGGGAAATTAACTAATTAAATACAACGAAGTATCTGGGAAAAGCGTGACTGGCCTTTGGGCATACAAAGCCTTGGAACCGCCATTCAGCGCTTTCCAAGGGACAATGCCTCCGACCGCACCACCCGCATGGAGACCCAGTGGCCGACTCCTGCGCGACGCGACACTGCGGCCCACATGGGTGCGAGGTGCTAATGCCTTGGCGACGGACGCCCATTTTCTCCCGTCCGTTTCAAAGGAACGGCGATTCACTACTGGAAGTCAATGTCACCAAACTTCCTAAGACCGCACATGCGTCTGTTGACTCAGTCCTCCGTCAATATGTTTTGGAAGCGGAGGAGGAAAGGTGAAAATTTGTAATGACAATAGTAAAGGATCCATGGCACCGGTCGTAAACATGGAAGGAGAATAGGTCAGAGGAAAATAAAATAAACGTAACTAATTCACCACTAGTCATATTAGTACCAATGAGGGATTACATTAATATTCAAACATTATACTCATAAAATTTCCGTAGGTTTACCACCAACGAAATGTAACAAAATAACAATTTTAATATAGTTTATTAATGTACTTTTATCTGTTACCGTTTCAGAATAGAATATCAAGAATTTTATTTTCTCGCTTAAGTCAGCTCTCGTAGAACGTCAGATGTAACAGTGATAAAACTATGAACGTAGATTTATTCAATATTAAAGAAATGCGAATGTGAAAATCAGCACTGTCGTCATTTCAACATTGTATTTAATTTCAACATTGTCCTTCATAAAATTCTTTATTGAGATTTCAAAAATATAACGTATGGTCATGTTTTTACTTTCTCGCTATGGGGTAGAGAGTAAGTTATGTAATGCTGCCCAAAAAAATTAAGAATTTTCGGCAGAAAAACACTTATTACAGGGCATTGGTAACAAAAAGGGAGATAAATCCAGTTGCTAAATTTAGATGGGGGGGGGGGATCCTCTAACACCCGGTGAAGCCAGAATCCTTGTTTTGTGGGGCAAAATCCAACGACGTCAAAATATCCGCCCTTCTGTGAACGTTAGCGGCTACACCGTTCAGCGGATTTTCTCCAAAACTGACATTCCCTAATCGATTTGGCAGATGTCATGGTCCCTCAATCTTGAAACCGATATTTTAATTTTAGTGCGTACTTTACATGAAGCCTTTGGGACATTTTCAAAATTTTCAAACAAAAACAAAGATTTTGATTACATTTTGTTTTGGGATAGTGTGACGGACGTTTAAGAGAATGGTGTAGGTCTCGTGTTCATTGAAAACTGCGTCGAGAGAAATTGGTGTCGAGAGATTTAAAAGTAATGGTTGTACAAATTGTTATGGAGTGGCTGTAAGTCACTGAATACCTGGCTCCTGACAGTCTTTGGGACAAGTTACTCGAAAATTATTGCCACAAATTTATTTATATTAATTCCATTTTCAGTTTGAAGCAAAGAAATGATTCAACCAAATGAAATACTACATCAGTCAGATTTCCCAATTCAGAGTAAAATTTTAAAAACAGAATAAATGAAATCTTCATTTAATAATGATTCTCCCTTAAGAATGATATAAAAGCATTAACATTTACGTTCAGGTAGGGGTTGAATAGGAAAATATCCTTGTCTGTTAAAAGCGCTGACCGTTCGCACGCGAGAATTGTTAACTTATAGACATTGTTAATTTATTTCACATTATTGCTAAATACAATAAATAACTGAATGATTTGATAATACACGACACGATGAACACAAAAATATAATTGGCCATCCGAACATATCTTGTCATTTAGCAAAGATTTTTATACAGGGGAGATTTTATTGCGGAAATAAACACGAATTATTAATCAGTAGTGAAGAATATAAACAACACAATTCTCAGTTATTGATAAAAAATAAACTTGGCGAACATATTTTCGTATGAAGCCACTATTCGCCGCTTCAGCTTTCGCGTGTACACCCCTTTCTGGATCTCAAAGGGAAATGAGCGCGGAGTCACGGGAAGTTTTCCCTGCCCGTATGAGCGCCGCTCTCCCCAGGCGGGCAGGCTGCGGTTTGACGTGCCTGTTCTAGACAATGGGAGAACAGCATTAATCATAACATAAAAATACATTTTTTTCTTCTCTTTTCAATTTAAACCAAGATGAACAGCGGTGTCTCATCTCCATCTTAAGGTTCTTTGAACTGTACGTTGTTCGGTTACCATACCAAGCGGGCTGAGTTCAGAAGGGTTATTCAGAAGACCTGGTTGCAACAATAGGTCGTTGAACAATCAGTGGCGGATGACGAGGTAATTTCTTGCGAATGCCAAGGGCGATGTAGAAACACGAAGCCACTTTGAAAATGAGGACATCCAGTACATATGACGCGTCAGACTCATCACGTCAGCAATAAGCTACAAAGAATTGAAAATGAAACAAAGCAAAGCGAGAAACAAAGAAATGACTTTTAGCTTTGTTATGGCAACTGATCAATATATTTTTGAAATACTTAATAAAATTGTTCCCTGCGAATAACCGAAGATATACTACAAAATAACCAGACATCACACAAAAACGAATAATCACCGATTATGTGAAAAATGCAGGAACATTTTATTTTAAGATGTAAATTAAATTGGCAAACGATAATGACGCAAATGAACTAATGAAATTAAAGAAAATACTGAGATGAAAAAAATAAGCATAATTTTCTGAATATTTTTAGACAATAACTTGACACTTTGAAAGGGAAGAAGTAGGATTCCACCAGTACCTTACCTGAACTTTTCAATAATTAGTGAAGTGCAACGATAGTGAAAAGCAAGTCTTGAAATACTTGACATGCGTGCCACCAAAGAAGAACACCTCAGGCACTTTCAGTCTTCCACTTCCATTCCAACATAAAGCGCCCACAGTTGCCGCTTTAGTGTCCTCTGTTATCTCCCCACCCTTCATTTCCACTGGCGCAACAGAAACTTAAAATATCGTAGGCCATTCATTTCGGCTTTTGAAAACCCCGAGAAGAATGTTCGCACATCAATCAAACTACCCAGCACTTCTATCTCGCCATTTTTCACTTTGCAACTCATATGTCAATGAAAAAAACTTTTATCTCTTTTTATTCCGATCTATTTTTAAAATAAATGTTGGAAAATCA